TAAATTAGAGACAATTAAGCGACTCTTGGATAGACACATGGATGATAGTAAAATGTAGGGTATGCAGGGTAGTTTGATCTTAGAGAAGGTACAACATCGTGGGCAGAAGGGCCTGTATTGCGCTGTACTGTTCTATGTTCTATGTCAGAGTGCAGTTCCAAGCCACAGCTCAAAACACAGACTCAAAACATTAATTCAGTTTCTCTCTCCACAGATGCTGCCATACCTGCCAGCTTTCCTCAGTATTTTCTGTTTTTATTTCAAGCTCCAGCATCCACAGTACTTCGCTTGTAAGATTTTACATGGTATTGTTTTATCTTGAGTGAAGAAACGGAAAGACAGTGGCATATATGTCAAGGAGTGAAATGATAGTTTCATCTCATTATCTGTTGTGGAAATGTTGACTCAGAGCTTGATGTCAACTCATCAATCTGACAGCATAAAGTGGTCTGTGGAGAGGTAGAGCTGGATGGCACACCAAACTAATACTCTCCCTGAAAAGGAAATAGCATCTGGATAAGGAAAAATGTTGAAACCAGACATTGTTAAGGACCTCTAGATTAGGAGTGCTGTGATGGAGAGCAAAGTCAAGATTAGAGATATGTTTACTACAGGCGGACAGGTCAGAGTCCAACAATGAGGCATCCTCATACAGCTGGACAGAGCTAGATGGCAGGGAACAAGAGGTGATGCGAGTGACACAGGGAATTCCCAGAGAACAGAATAAGATCCAACACTACAGTCCCATTCACGTAAGTGGTTATTTATGAGGTTTGCTAGGAGTGTAGCTGTATGGTGACAGATCATTAGGTGATATTGTAGCATACTTGTAATGTCACTGGACTAGCAATCCAAAGATCCTTTAGGGAAGGAAACTGCCATCCTTACCTGGTCTAGCCTACATGTGACTCCAGACCCACAGCAATGTGGTTGACTCTTGACTGCCCTCTGGCCAATTAGGGATGGGCAATAAATGCTGGCCCAGCCAGCGACATCCTCGTCCCATGAATGAATAAAGAAAAAAAAAAACAGGCTAAAGCTCAGGGGTCATAGGTTCAAATTTCACTGTGGCAGCCGGTGAAATTTTAGTTCAATCAATACATCTGTATTTGAAAGCTGGTCTCATAAAACCATTGTAGTAAGAATCTCTCCACACCAATAATACCTTTTAGGGAGGTAAGTCCGCCAACATTACCTGGTCTAGTCTAACTGTGACTACAAACCACAGAGAACATGGTCAACCCTTCACTGTCCTCTACAATGGTCCAGCAAGCCAGTAGGTTCAAGGACAATTAGGGATGGGCAAAATTGTTCACCATGTCAGTGACATCCACATCTCATGAAATAAAAGGAAACCAGAAACTGGACTAAAGAATTTCTAGTCATAGTGTCATACAGAATGGAAACAGACCCTTTGGTCCAACTCGTCCACGCTGACCGGACATTCCAATTAGACCTAGTTCCATTTGCCAGCAATTGGCCTGTAACCCTCTAAACCCTTCCTATTCATATACCCATCAAGATGCCTTTTAAATGTTGTAATTGTACCAACCTCCATCACTTTGTCTGGCAGCTAAATCCATACATGCACGACCCTCTGTGTAAAGATACCCCTCAGGTCCCTTTTAAATCTTTCCCCTCTCACCTTAAACCTATGCCCTCTAGTTTTGGACTTATTTACCCTGGAAAAAAGACCTTGTCTATTCACCCTGTCCATGCCCCTCTTGATTTTATGAGCCTCTATAAGAACACCCTATAGATTCTGATACTCCAGGGAATTTTGAGACACGAAGATGTTGAACAAGATTCATCTTGTTCCAACTTACCCTGAAAACCTTGAGCGAGCTCTGAGCCTCTCCATTTCTCATTCACAATGACATGTCCTCTGGGGACTGCATTAGCTCCAGCACGGACTGGAGTACTTGACATACTGGAACTCACTGAAATTTCCATCACTGCTGTTGAAATCGCACTAAAGGCACGTCTCACATTCTGTTTTACCTGTCCGGAAAATAGCCAGAAATCAAATTCAATAGGTTTCAAAATTGTGCAAAAGCTCAAAATCTACATGAATAGTTGCAAATACACCATTCTCTTTTCTTTGAAATGCTGCACCAACAGTATGCTTTATGTTTATTGCTAATCTAAGAGATGGTTTCAATCAGGGATAGTCAAACTATTACAAGAACTCAGGAAAACATAAAAGGTGCATCAAGTACAACTCATTTTCCATTACTTTAGACAATGATTGATAATAGCTGAAAGAGGACAGGAGTCTCACAGAAATGAAGATGGATTTCCAGATTAGTTTATTTGAATTGATGTATTTATTGTCACATGTATTTTGTTACAAAATACAGTGAAAAGTGTTGTATAGTGTCACCAATCTTGGGCACCGTCTTAAAACACACAAAAAAGCTAAAACATACAATACAAGGCAGAAAAGTAAAGAAATTAATTGTTCAACTTCACAGTCCTTCTTGTTAAGTAGTTTGCCATGGGCCAAAGACCTGGTGGCCAGGCATGAGTCCCCTTCACCATGCAGACTTTCCACATGAATAGCTTCACTATTCAGTTGAAAAACCTGTCAAACCATCCCAACAGATTACTCTTTGTGAGACTGACCTAATTTGCCTGCACTCCCACTGCTCTTTACCCAGCGCACTGGAACCTTGCCCCTTTTTCAAGTATTTATCAATTTTCATCTAAAACTTAATGAGACTATTTCCTGTCTTTAAGGCAGGGCAATCCAGAAGGCACCAACTTGCTGCACAAAATGCTGCTACTTCTGAGAATGATCTGGAATCTGTCTCTGGGTAGGGGCTGTAAATACAGCCATAGAGACGTACAGCATGGAAACAGATCCTTCCATCCAACTTGTCCATGCCAACTAGATATCCTAAATTAATCTTGTCCCATTTGCCAACATTTGGCCTATATCCCTCTAAACCCCTCCTATTTATTTACCCACCCAGATGCCTCTTAAATGTTGTAATTGTACCAGCCTCCACCACTTCCTCTGGCAGCTCATTCCATACACCCACCAGCCTCTGCATGCAAGAGTTGCCCATTAGGTCCCTTTTAAATCTTTCCCCTCTCACCTTAAACCTATGCCCTCTAGTTTTGGACTCCCCCACCCCAAAGAAAAGACCTTGACTATTTATCCTATCCATTGCCCTCATGATTTTATAAACATCTATAAGGTCCCCCTCAGCTTCCGATGCTCCAGGGAAAATCTCTGAAATTATGTAATCTAATATTGTGAGCATTTTTGGGCCCCATATCTAAGAAAGGAAGTGCTGATCATGAAGATGGCTCAAAGGAGGTTTACAAGATTGATCCTGCAGATGAAGAGCTTGCCATAGGAAGACAAGATGAGGACTCTGGGTCTATACATGACGTACAAGGTCAGAAAAACACACACCAGGTTATAATCCAACAGGTTTATTTGAAACCACAAGCTTTCACAGCCTCACTCATTCTTCGGGTGTTAATGAGATGAGATGCACACAAATCATTTATCAATTAGGTGTTAATTGATTAATTTCTTTCAAGTCATTGCCCTGAGAGAACTACAGGTTTTATCAATATAAAGCAGCATCTTAGGTTTGTTTAATACATCCTCATCAGTTGTGACCCTTTAATCTTTTACTTATAAACTGTGTCTGTTGCTACCTTTCTCCCAAACACCTGGAGGAGGAGCAAGGCTCTGAAAGCTTGTATTTTCAAATAAACCTGTTGGACTATAACATGGTGTCATGTGACTTTTGACCTTGTCCACCCCAGCCCAACACTGGAACCTCCACATTACAGACTTGATGGAGTTTTGCAGAATGAGTTAGGGGAAACTGATTGAACCGTACAGAATACTGAGAGGCCTGGAGAGAGTGGACTTGGAGAAGATGTTTACACACAGTAGGGGAGGCTAGGACTAGAGGGCACAACCTCAGGGTGAAAGGGAAACCCGTTAGAACTGAAATGAGGAGGGATTTCTTCAGCCAGAGGGTGGTTAATCTGTGGAACTCATTACCACAAAAGGCTAAACAGGCCAAGTTACTGAGTGTACTTGACACAGAGACAGACAGGTTCTGGTATTAGTAAGGGGATTGAAGGGTTACAGGATGAAGGCAGGACAATGAGCTTCAGAAACATATAAGGCGTGATTGAACAGTAGGGCAGACTGGATGAATACTGCTCCTTTATCTTGATGATGGAGATGTCAGACATACCTACCCAAGCTGAGACAGTATATCAATCCCGTACCCACACACCACCTTCACTAGGCCCGGGTCACCGAATCCGTTATGACCGGTCACTTCCCTCCCGCGTAGCGCGCCCATTGGACAGGACTATGCGGCCAGCGATTGGCTGAAAAACGCATTGCTGCTCTCGGATAGGCTGTGACGTTACGAGGTCTGATTGGCCCCCAGGGCAGCGCCCGTACCGGGCAAGTCACGTGATTTTTGGTGTCACATGACGGATCACGGGGCGGTGGATTGGTTCATGGGACGGGGCGGGGCGGGATGGAGTGGGAAAGGGCGGGGCCCGGGGAGACAAGCGGGGCCCGCTGTCAGTAGGCCAGAGGGCGGCGCGAGGGGCAGGAATGGGCAGGGACAGGTAGGCGGGGCACGAGCAGTGGGCGGAGCCCGAGCGGGGGGTGATGGGAAGGAAAAGGCAGGGACAGGGTTATCGTTGCGGGGGAAGTAGGAGAAAGGGGCGGGACCTGGAGGTGGGGCGGGACTTGTGACGGTATGGGGATGGAGCCTGGGCTGGTGACGTGTCGGATGCCTGGCAATGGGTGGGGCACGGCCGGGTGCAGGGGGAGGGGCAGGGGGAGGGGGAGGGGGAGGGGCAG